CAGGACCTAATGCTTACCTGAGCAGATGTGATTTATAGGCCGCATGGTGTTTCTCGGGGATCCGTGGAATTCTCCAGACGAGTGATCGATATACGTGTTCATACTTGGCTTCTCCTATGGCGCATTCGATCAGATTTGCTTCATTCGATTGAACTGCTCCGAGTAGTCGATCTTTCAGGTTCTGAAACATGAAGAACTCTGCACAGATAGCGGCCACCTCAACCATGTATCTCATGATATAGTAGCGCAGAACAACCTAAGAAACTACCAAACAAGGTGTTCGAGGCAGTTAGTGAATTTGTTTGGTTGGCGATCGAAAGTAAAAGCTGAATTCTCAAAAGGAGGCACCAAAAAAGAAGCACGCTGAGGTTCAAAACCCCCAAAACGGATTGCACGGCCGACTTAGGGTTACTGGACGAGATCTCGCTGCCACTGTCCAAGTGAAGCGGAGGCCGTACCCTACATACATGCTAGATGGGCTGGAACGCAGGCAGATAACTGATAAGATCTGCGAATAGGACAGCCATATGGAGGTGTAGCGAAAACGAAAGCTTAGCGACAAGGGTGGTATCTTGTTAATTCGCTCGGGAGCAATTTTCCCCGTGTAACACGCCAGATATCTTCCACCTAGAGCCTAGTTTATTTCTTAACTAGGCACGTAGCTGTGGACCTCACCTTGACTTTTCCTGGCCGCAAGTTTCTTTGAGTGAACAGATCCAACACCCCAATGTCGCTCTTCCCTGGAACAATTGCGTCTTTTCGAGTGGAGGTATGCAATATTCAAACTCACCTAAAGATGTAGATCCAGGCTTCTGGGATGGGAAATCGGATAGCGATGTCTTCACACGGAATTTGTCTTCGTGTACTTTTTCCTCCTCGACTCTTCTCAATTTGTGCAGCTGCCATCGCCTCGATACGGATTTCCACCTGGAAACGGTAGCATTGAGGTTCCAGAAAATACCACAGCAAGCCTCGTTGCAGCGAATACATTTCCCTCGAAGCCATGGACTGGTAGAATAAAGCCGTATTCTTTTCACAAACGCAGTGTTCTTCGGCCCTAACAATAAGGGCGAGGTCGCGAATAAGGTAGGTTGTACAGAGCGTAGAACGAAAAATTTTTTAAATGTTTCTTGGCCAAGAGGTACTCGTGGACTACAAAGGCGAGGTTCGTTCCTGCTGAGCGATCTCCTGAAAGTTTAACAGTGGCGAAGAAACAGTGGCGAAGAAATTGACCAAGGTCCAATTCCCCGTGACGATAAAATTTTCACGGTGGTGGGAGCTTCCAGATTTGCTCCAAATAGCGAGAACGCCCACAATATATTATATAACTGCGAACATGTAATAAATACCATAGCGCTGACCATATTCCCTTTCCTTCCCTTCCTTGCCATCCGTGAAAGGGATGCCCACCAATGCTATGAATCCTTTAAAGGACGAATTCACGATCAGAGGGAAAATCGAATTAGGAAGAATTCACCTGGTTGAGGGACCCGCGGAGCTCCTAAGGGTGCGAACTGAAGCACAATTTGCACGAAGGAGTTGACCTCGGTTGACCTATTAAGGGCGCGGCTGGTCAGTGCACGCCCACCGATCATCTGATCACTCGCCGCAGGTCTATACGTGGCGAGTAGAGAGAGAGCGTAGTGTTGAAGAGGGCACAGCGATGATAGTCGCATCAATGCTCAAATCAACGGGCAAGGAAGGTGGTCCCATTTCTCAGGTTCTGAGCCGTTTCTCATGGTTTTACCTTCTCAAGTGTACCACT